TATTAGATTTATTATCCGTGTATATATTTTATGTAATATCTCTATGAACATAAGTCTAAAAGTGTGATAAAGATATTACATTCTATATAGAGATGTGCATGTCAGTTATTTTCTCTTGTTTGACTTTATTATATCAAAGATTCAACAACATAGTACAATGCCAAGTGTCTGATAAATGTATCGACTCTGTATTGTCTTGTCTTGTTATTCTGATTAATGTATGATCTAATAATAGATATGTGTGTATGGACACATATGTAATATCTATCACGTTGTATATTAAATCAATTTTATGCTGACTAACGATCAATACAAAAACATTGTTCAAAATTGAACTATGGGCAAAAATGATCGAGTACGAGTTTAAATTTTTGTTCCTAAAGTAACTCCAATCTAATCCATTGTTTATAATTTTATAATCCAATTTTAAGCGGCATCACCACAATTTTCATTTACTTTCTTTCATATAATGTCTATATACTTCATCAGTTTCCTTCATTTTTTTTTTCTTTTTAATAAACAGAGGATTATTTTTATTAACAAGAAATGTACAATGACCACTCAACTACCACAGTATATGTGTGTATGCAACATCTTCTTAAGGATTAACATTTTAAAAAGAAAATATTTAATACTGGCATCTTTTTCAAAGATTTTATATCTGTTCAAAACATCAAGAGTAGAGAAAGAAAGAGAGAGAGAGAGAGTCTAGGTGTGTTTATAATAGTAATCTAATAATTTCAATTAATACTAAATGATATATAAAATTAGTTACAGTCTAGAAGAAAAAAACATCAACTATTTTATGAATAAATTGATGATAATAAAAACAAATAAATATAATTATATAGTAGATGTATATCTACAAAGAAATTGTATTTCGTAGATATAAATTTCGTCATTAATACTGGAAAAAGATGAAAAATTAGAATACAATCACATTTTGTACTGTTTTTACCAAATGTCACTTGCATTTTCTTAACAGAATTAGTTTTTTCCTAAAAAAGAAAAATGAGTCAACATATTTTTCAACATATCATATATCTTCATTATTACTATTGTTCTCAGTCTTACACGGTTACATCATAATTACTAATCAGTTGGTCTTTAATAGTACCTTATGTACAATACTTCTGAAGTACAATTATGTGCGTACAATTTTAATCTTTTTAAGTTTTCTTTCGTGATTATATTATTACACTGTATACTGTTTGTATATATACTTAATCGAGCAACAAAACATACAAAACATTGACAAGAACCTTGTATGAGAGTATAGGACAGATGTGTAACAATATACGAAAGATATTATGGGAGAAAGAAAGAATGAGAGAATAGAGTTAATGTTATTGAATGACATTCTTAATTCATCAATTTTCGTGCATGTGATAGACTATAAGATTATCATAAGATGAGAAAATAATAAATAATTGACTGTTTTTGTTGTCTGTAAAGCAACATGTTAGAGACAAGATTTAAAACGAGAACCTCATATAATAGAAGAATTTTTCATATATACACAAACACACACATGTAAATGTTTAAAGTTCAATATATCAATGTCAAAAATAGAAGGACCAAATTAAACATTAATCTATAGCAAAACATTAGTTATATTATGTGTTTTCATAAAAAGATTTAGATGATGTTTCAAAATAATTGTTAGATTGGCAAGGATATAGGATATAATATACTATCACTCATCTAAAAAATAGTTGATGCTTTCTCGAAATGTATTCTCTTAATAGGATGAAAACTATTTCTTTCTTTAAAATTGTGCATCATTGTCTTCTAACACTGATATATTAGAAAACGATATTTAATACTCTTCATAAAAGAGTTTTCTTTATCAGCTTTCACTATTAAAGGAGATCATAAGAAAAAGATTGAGTCGAACATATTGTGCGCGCTCACCATTTATTCAATTGATTATGATTAAATAGAAAGAAATTTTCGTTTTTACTCAAATATAGATACATATTCAGATGTATAAAGTAGTTGATTGGTCGTTGTTCTAATCTTAAGAAAACCTTTTTTTGTTCATACAAAGTTAGATATTTTAATCAAAAAATAGTTGTTCATACACAGACATAATTTTGAACATGGTGTGTAATCATTATTTATTATGTATACAAGATCTCATAGACAAATATCAACATACTTTTAATGTTATAGAGAAAAGATATTATCATTCAAACATTTCCGAAAAATATCTGTCAAGAGTTTTACTGATGGTTAATCACAGCTGATCTTAGTGATTGTACATCATTTTACGCTAGAATTTATCGTTTAACGTATATTTTTCTGTAGTAAAAGTAAAGAAAATTTTTTGAGAAATAGTAGAATAAGTTGAAGTTTCATTGTAGATGATAATATTTAACGATATAAAAGAACAGTCATTACTTAGACGTTAAAGTGCTTTCATTTGCATGAACGAACACAATAGTGATTAGTGTTAAGTATATGTGTATATGGCCTAAGCATAATTTTGACTGTCATAAAAAATTATCCTATTAGAGATAATTATATTCAAGATGTTTTTCTACTGATAGTTTGTGTACATCAATAATGTGTATAGAGTAAGATAGCGATCTCTACACCCACGCACACTCACACATACATACTCATATTTATGAGCTTTAAAAATAATATATAATATGTACGAGTAAACCTCGTCCCAACACTATAACTAAAATCAACTAACTAAAACTTATCTAACACTGGACCTGGTGTTTCATTTGACTTACGTATGGAAGCTCAGCGAACTGAAATCAATAGAGATTGTCGGCCCATCTACAATTTAATAGGTTTATCCTAAATATTTCTGTTGTTTTTATTTTCAATAAAGCTTTACACGCCTATCTGTCGATAGTTACTGACATTCATCAATACCCAGCGACATCTCTTATGCACAAAGCCATGCATTAACACCATCTAGAAAACTTAATTTAATCCAGAAAGTGGTATAAACAACCCTCCATCTATCATAAAGAAAATGGGATGATTTTGATTTCTTATTTGTTTCAGAACGTTAAGAATAACTAGAACAGCCTTGCATCTATTTCTGTGTGCTAAGTATATTCAGGTAACACACAAAGTCAGTGTGTACATGTCCTCAAAAAGATAGAAAAATTCAAATTATTAGTTAACTGATATTCTCATAATTCTATTTTTATTACTGTTCTCATTTAGATGTTGGATCGTCGAGTCCATTTCTAGCACCGAGACTCATCATAGACCATCATTTATGTAAGTATTGTAACTAATATTGTTCTCTTTTGAATTAATTACTTAATTTAGTTAAAAATACATATAATACATAGCAATAACATTCAATACATAAACGATAAAAACGACAGCTGGTTCGTGTTTGATTTTTAAAACATCATTTCAATACCACTGTTGTATATATAATATCTAGTGTTTTTCTGTATACCTAGATTCGAATATCTGAATCACTAAACATTATGTGTGCACGTATGCGTGATTCTAAAGGTTGACACGAAAAGTTTCTGCACAATGGCGACTATTTTATTCTCCTCTTCACAATAGTTTGTGATTGATCTAAAGAGGTACTTTATAATCTATAAATTTACAAAATTGTAACTATGATTTGAAAGGTAGCAGTATTTTTCATCATTATAAGTGTAACTCACTTTTACTGCTTTCCTGTACAGATACTTTTTAATAAAATTCGATTCAGTTCAGTATACTCAAATAAGTTTGGCTAAGATTCAGTCTAACATTTAAGCAGCAAATGATTCGTTGCCTTTGATTAGACTACTGATCAGTCTACCAAACTAGAAAATAAATGATTTTTTTTTTATAATAAAAAGATGTAATTCATATGTAAACAACGAATAAAAAACTGTGGATTTAATGATTAGATTGGATTATTTAGTATGAGAAAAAATAAAGTTTCTAAACATCTTAATGTACGCTCAATTGAATAATCTTTTAAATTTAAACAGAAACTGTTTTTGATATGATAATAATGGATATGTAAAAAAAATTGCTTCTTAAAAACGAATCTTTTTCAGATGCATCACATCTGTTGACGTTTCTATGATGTGAAATTTTTTGTTCGTTTGCATTTTATTACAATATAGTTCAAGGACGTATATTGTTCAAAATTTGAAGAATGTTATAATCTTCGATAACTAATACATATGTAATTATTTTTGCAATATATATCGATAACTTTATCTTGAAACACATCTATACACACACATATATATATGCATATACGATTAGCAACTGATACATACTGCCGATAATTTTATATTTTTGTAGTTATCTCTGATATGGTTTTTTTTTCCCGTCTTTCATTTAAAAACAACAAAAAATGTTTTAATTCTCCTCCTTTACGTTATGTGAGTAATGTTTCTCTATATTCACATGCTAGATAGATATATGTACATACTCTTCTCTCTTTCTCTACATATTTGAGTACAACTCAAATGTTTATGTTGGATATATAACTAATCATTTGCGGGTTTTATTTTTCAGAACAATAAAGAAAATAATAGAATAGGTTTTTTTTGAAAAAAAAAAAAAGAGTGAGTCGCGTGTTACTAGGTTATTTGTTCTTTCTTTTTCTTCCTTTTTTTTTTGTACAGGTTAAAATTTTGCGTAGATGTGGGCACCATGCTGTCATCCTTGAGATGTATATAATACATACACATACTCTTTCCGCCTATCGACTATTTATATGAGCATTTTTCAGATGATGATCAAGGATGTTGTTTATATACTCCTCAATTCATGATGGTATTCAAGAAAAAAATACACACAATAGACATCCTGCGTGTGCCCTTCTTTCTCATCTAAAAATGTGAATTAATAGTCTATAATCATATAAGTAAATAAATAGAACAAAGACAAAAAAAGAAGAATATCACCACCATTATCGGATAAATATCGTTTTCCTTATAGATAACAACATATATACGTTCACCTTCTCATATGTTTTCTACTATCATTATCTACTTATTTTACAAATGAGTTGGACACATCGTACCATAGCTAAATTAAGTCCATCACCAAATCATTCAAATCTTGAATCGTCCCAATCATCATCATCTATTCTCATTACACCAATTGTTTCTACACCGACTCCAACAACAACAGTGAAATCATCATCCATCTTTTCACCATTTGAAAGGCGTTTAGCCAAATATCGATCGCTACCACTCCTTTGGTTGCGAACATGTGGTAATAATAGACGTCGAAGTAAAGATCTACTCTTAGCAACTATTGGTAAGTTTTTTATGATTAATTATCGGTTGATAAAATGTTGACAGTATGAGATGTATATCGAGAGCTGTTTCTAATCATTCGTACAGAGTTAATCTATAATACAACTGAGTGATTTTTATTCAATAATCATATCTTTCAATGTGTGTGATATGTTGGTATTGCTGTTGTACTAATACAAAGAAAGGTATAATATCATTTTTTTTGCAAAAATAAGCCCATTTTTACATTATCGTAAAATACATATTTGCCTTTGTTTTTTTTTTTAAAACAAAGAAGAAAAGAAATGCTAATGATAGATAAATAACGAATATTTTTGGGGCATAGTTTTTATCAAAATTGATAGTTATAATTTTTTTTATTTTCAATCTCATAGTAAGAAAATAGTATTTGAAAATATGCTACTAACTAGTAAAACTCCTAGACCTATTTTTCACTATAAAGTGAAAAAAACCGTAATATTTCGACGCTAAAAAGAGATAAATAATTTTCGAAAACGTTTTTGTTAACGTTACAGAGTATACATACATAAGATTGATTAAATCTTTATTTTTTGATGTTAATTGAAGTTAGCAAGATAAATCAACTGAATCAAAAAGAAAAGTATTATTTTCATGGTTGTAAATGAATAGAATGTATTGTCAGTTAATAGATGTTTTTGAATATCTATATAATAGTCTGAGACCTTGTATAAGAATATAGCTCGATAAAATATCTCGAAATATTCTTTGTTAGCTCTTTTAAACTTAAAGGTCAAAATTGGAAACTGAAAAAAATTATTTTCATTTAAAAATAGAATTGACTCATAGTTTGATTGGATTAGTGAGGAAATATTTTTACTCACTACAATAAGTTAAAATAGAACTGAAAAACATAGAAAAATGTGCTTGAACGATTTTTCTGTATGTGCGTGTATTTGTGTCAATCGAACCAAGTTGTACAGTAATAAGTGGAACCTACACATTGATTATTTGAAAAATATGGTAGAAAATACAATTTACACAGATCACCATGGCTGTGTAATGATTTCAAAGAATATTTATGCATTCATTCTATTAGAATAATTTTGGTAATAGAATTTTCTATCAATAAAAATGCCAAATTTAACTCGTAAACATTTCAGAAAAGAATGTCTTAAAAATGAAGTTGAACTCAAACTATCGAAAGAATAAAAATATCTAAGAAATATGACTTACTATACTTTTTTCTCATTTCTATATTCATTGATATTTGGCTTCTTTGTTTTGAGATAGTTATACTTATGTCTATCAGTTCTACATTTAAATAACATAATATTGATTGTTAACGAGCTCAATAGTCTTATTGTTTAACAAATTAACCTCACCGACCACTTCACAGTCCCATGTTAAGTAACTGTAGAAATTTAACTTATTAGACAAATATTGTGATGTTATGTGTGAAGAATTCTCTCTGTATGGGTACATATTACATACTCAAATGATTTCATCTATTCTATATTGAACGAAAATTGTGGCGATCAAATCACATTTGAAACGAACTGAGTATAGAAAAAATTTCTAATTTTATTAGTTAAAAAATGAGAAAACATCTTCTTTGTTTACTAAAAAAGAATGGCTTCTACATATCATTCACAATTTTAAATCGATTATTATCAATAATGTTTGGTTGCATCATGCTTAGTAGTCTATTTTTTTGAAATGTCTAAGGACACGCTGATTTGTCTATTGTTCAGATGAACTAATAATCGTTTTTTTTTTTTTCGATTTATATTGATCTACTTGAAATAGTTTACCTTTCAGGTGGAGGGTCGAATCATTTCAAGTGCAATGCAGAGAAGAATAATGCAAAAAATTTCCATTTTTTTTCTCTCTATTGAATTTTATTATTCATAACTTTTTGAAACTATTTAAAGAATGTTCGCAAATATGTTGTTACTGCACGTATATGCAAATATTTTACCTTGCCCTTTTCTTGTTCAGTTTATGCTCAGCTTATGTCAAGGTTTTCAAATTATCTTCAACTAGATCAGTTAAAATTTTCAAGTATGTGATATGTATCAAAAGAGTGTCTTATACCAGATTTTTAAAATAGCAAATAATTTTAGATCTATTGTAAATACTTAAACAGAGTTTGACTCTTGATATAAATATTTTTCTGTGAAAAAAAAAAAGAAGAGATTCGAATTTTTATTTTCAATGTTAAAAAACGTTGTATTGTTTCTTTCCTTTTTCTTGTTCTATTCGAAAACAAAACATGCATGCATGTATTATATCGCTATCGGTGTGATCTCGCATGTATAAAATAAAAAAAAAGAAGAAAAAAAAAGAAGAAAAAAAAACTTTTGTCGTCTGTCCTCATCGCTCTATTTGACTATAAAGTATCTTATACGTAATCTGGTCTATTTAAGGTTATTGTCACGTACACGTGTTAAAGTAATCAAAGTCAAGAGTATACACACACACACTTACATATTTAAATTTCAATCATATTTTATCGTCTTTGTTAGACTTAAGACCAGAATTAAGAGTCAAATTTGAACAGCAAAATTAATTACAAATACTCTTATATGTTAGATTGATTAGGTTTAGATGACTGATGTTGATAATGTTTCTTAATTCTAAAAATTTTTAAAAAAAAAGAAAATTCGATCATTGCTACAATTTTTCATCCAAATAGAAAAAAAAATCAGTCTGTAAGTGCGTAATAAATGGTTTATGAACAATAAATTAAAATATATATTGGTGAAAAGAGTGTGCATAGAATTAACACCTGTTTCTAATCGATACATTTTTAATGAAGAGTAAAAATTTGTCATTATTATTGAAGTAAAAAACGTCATCTTAATCTCAAATGATATAGATAGACGAGAGAATTCATTTTTAAATTATTTTCTAACTATAATAAAAAAAAAAACCTCATTTTCCATGATTTGTTTACTTTTTAATTTTGTGTTTTCTCTAACAGTCGAAAGCTATAGAAATAATATTATTTCACAGCATGTAACATGAGATAGCAATAGCTAACTTTCTTGACAAAAGAGATAGATATCGATTTTTTTTTTCTTTTATAATGTACAAAAGACATAGCTGTCAAGGTATATTAACCTTAATTGTATTAGAATATATACATTTTTCTCTATCAATCCCCTTTATATTATATCAATGATCAAATTAATGATAATATTACTACATTGGAGAAATAAATCGAGTTTTAAAAGTTCGACAATTCATTTTTTTGTTTTTTTTCTTCTCAAGATAATAATTTTTAAGATTTGAAAAATGATAAATATTTAATGAAATGAATTCTTTTATTTTATAAAAGAAAATAGATTTTTATTTTCTACTGAACAAGTTGTCTGAATCAAAATTTAATTCAATATTTATTTGTTTCACACTTATAAACAATAAGATATATATGGTATTTAATCGCATGTATATTTTTCACGGTTCACTCTTCCTTATTAAAAAGGACATCACTGACTGTTATTCACCTATCAACAATACGTGCATATAAATATTTATAAGTGTAATCAATATATCGAACCAGATTACTCTATAAACATCAACAGCTTGAATATGTTCAAGAAATTTGTTAATCATATCAGATCGATCATGAGATTAAATGTCTTTCATGTATTAGATGCGCGACGTTTACACTCTTCTATTTCTATATGTGTATATATATATGTATCTATATTTATAAATGGATTCGCTTGGATATCATATTTCGAATAATTTCTTCTTCTTTTTTTTCCCTTCAATAAAAAAGGTCACGACATTTCTTATTTCTAATTCAAAAGAAACGATAGGGATAATTTCTTCTTCCATTTTGTGATTGACAGTTTATTCGTATATTAATTAAAGCATTATTCTCCCGGCGGACGTCTATAAGGTGGTAACTTAGATCGTCTGATCTATTGTGTATCACCGATTATATTCATATATATCTATAATACTAGAGAGAATTAACTATATTTTTCAGAGCTAATATGATTTTTAAGGTCAAAGACACTGTATGACGTATCTATTAATGTGTATGACTTTAAACGTTTAATGTGAAACTTTTTCTTTTTTCAAGTCCTTTTCTTTATTTGTTTAACAAATATTACGCTGTTGGCCTTGTTTACGTTGCAACACCTCTAAGGCAATATTTGAAAGCGATTATACAAGAGGTAAAAAAAAAAAACATCAGAAAAAAGAAATTATGTGACGAGATAAAAAAAACATTAATGAGCATTTGATTATGTTGTACAACTCAATAATGTGAATATTAAAGTGCCATTAGCATTGCAGATGGTACATTGAACAAATAAATGATGTTTTAGTTGTATACTTACAGTTGAACAGCTTTTGACATTGCAAACATATGATAAGACAAAAAAAGAAAAGAAAAAAAAATCAGTTTATTTATTTATAAGGTTCAATAATTCATCTTATGGTGATGATTTAATCCTGAATTTTTACAAGTGCTATACCAATGTAAATAAATACTATTTTATTGTATATTTGGCTTATATATGTTTAGTTTTTCTTATTTAAACATGATTTTTGTCGTATAAAATAAGACAATAATTCTGTTAGATAGAGAACGATGAAAGAAAGAAATTTTTTAGGTGTTAAGAGATATTCTTGTCTAACAGAAAAAGATAAAGAGGATCTTGTTTTCAATGACAAGTTGTATGATGGTGTTTACAATTGTTTGTTATGATATGAAAATATTATTCTTTATACATGTCTTCTGTCTAGTTATGTACTTGTAGAATACCCGAAGTCAATTTTTGAAACTTGTTGATACAAACAATGCAGTAATCATATTTTTTTTTCTTCTGATTTTGATTAGCACCAACTGACATTACGCAGACAACTTCCTCCCCTTACATGATCTTTATTCATCATTGATGAAGAGAAAAGTCTACAGCAAGCGGATTGAAACATCTTAAATACACAACGTTTTTAGTAGTTTTACAAATAGATCTTTCTAATTCGAGTATTGATGTTCAAAGTGCTGACAGTTTTAATAATCTATTATCATTTGAATGATCGTAATGATGTGATGTCTTTATCTTTACCTATTTTGAGAAATGAATATAAAAAAAATCAGTCAAAATTTGATTTCATAATGAAAAAGAACGAAACGAAAAACGAGTTTATCAAAAAAAATAAAGGGTGAAGATCTATTTCTGACATATCACGAAAAAAGAGAACACTAAGCACCATCGAAAAGCTTGAGAAGAGTATTGAATTACTAGAATTAAATAGAAATCAGATTATTTTCTTTAATATAATACGTACGATCTTGCAACACAAAACAAAAAAATAAAGAAAAGAATAAAAGAACAATTCACATCGAATATATCAACAAAACTAATAACAAACAATATAACTGTAATAAATATAAGCAAGAAAAAAGAAGAATTGTAGAAACAATATTAAGAAACGAGAAGAAGAAAAACAGCTACATATACAATATTATCAGAATTCCCTGTTAACTGTTGTTGATGTTGATAATGACTGATGAAGATGAAATTATAAAAATTAGTGGAAGTTTCTATCTTCCATTTGTTCAGTTTTCGAACTAATTAATGGTCGTCATGATCGTTTATCGTTACAATTATTAGTTATATTCATTAATATGCAATCAATTATCAATCTCTCGAAGGACTGAAGACAAGTGTGCTGTTATCATTATTTCATACTCTGTCATTACTGTTCTTCTTTACTTAACAAAGAAACAAAAAAAGAAGCAAGCAAATATTTTATCTGTATTGAGCTTCTTTTATTGTCCTATATTTTTAATTTGTTCTTATATATTTTACTATCGTGTTCATCATGGTCAGCCATATCAATGACCTTAACATCACACTACTATCATTATTATTATTATTATTATTATGTATCATCATCGAGGACGACGTCGTCGCTCATCGTTGACTTTTCTTTTATACGTGTATATGATAAGGGAAAAAAAGATCAATTTTTATATCTTAAATTAAAGAAGAATATTCATAAGGTGGAGTGAGAGAGATTTATTTTTTTTGGGGGGTATTTGGAATAAATCGATGTTATTATTTCAATGTTTAAATATGTTATGCGGAAAACAGAATAAACAAAAAAATCATCATCATCATCATCATCACCATCAACAACAACAACAACAACCAATACAATGTCAACAACTAAATAATAATAATAATAATAGTCGTAGTATTAAACGTAAGCCTATCAGTCATAATATTAACAAAGTTACCATCGATAATTTACCAAAAACATCAAAATATAATAAAAAATTTATAAATTCAAATTTTGATCAAATATATACATCATTAGGTAAGATGATTTTTTTTTTCGAATAATTTTTAATCTATTGAAATAGATTGATGGCTTAAAATCGTATATTATAGAAGTAGAAGACTCTTATATGAAGTTATAACATTCTATCTGTAAACAAAAATAAATATATTTTTGTGTTTCATCGCTTTTTCTAATACTAAATCAATCAGATATTTGAACATTCTGTTAGAATTAAAAAAAACAAACATTTTATAATAAATCATTCCAATGTAGAAAAACAATTTGAATCTTTTTTATTGTAAATTCGTAGAATTCTCTCTTAAGGTTGTTTCATCCAAACTCAAGTTAAGTTGACAAATGAATAAAATAGAAGATTAGACAATCTTCTCTTCTAGAAGAGAGATTTTTAAACCTGATAAAAGGATAAGTGAAATATTTCTTGAGACATAAAAAAGTAGGCGTTTTAAAAATCAGATTAAAAAAAGAAAAATTCTTTCATTGAAAAGTGTGAACAAAAAATGTTGATAAGTATTATGAATCTTATCTATTCCTTTGTAAAAAAAAAATAGAATGTTAATAATATAAATGTTTGACCTGATAAGAATGTGTAATATAAGAATATTGACAAATTTTGGATTGCAATGATCTTTAATCTGCCGTGTAGTTAGCTATTAGAATGATTGATGAAACCATTTGCTGAATGCAATGAATGTATAATTCTTGTATGTAAAATAACTTTCCTGTTCATAAGCTCAACTACCCTTTTCCAGCAAGAAAATATCTTCTATTATCCAAGGCAATTACGTCTTTAATAAGCAAACTTAGACAAGAGATGAAAGATGAATACTTAATTTATCTTATTTTGTTACAAAGCGATGAATCTATAGTTTTGTATTTTATATCAACTACAGTGTTATCTTTGATTGTCTATAAGTGATAATAGAATGATATATTCCTGTACAATATAGTTGACAATAACATGTTTAACATGTTTATTATTTTCTACACAGACGTTCCTTATTTTATTTACAATTATTAGTATTTTTTTCGGCAGATTATTCAACAAAAGCACACACACAGACACCTCTCTCTCTCTCTCTTTCTCTCTACATATCATTTTTTTGTTTCTCTTCACTGTGTAGTACTTGAAAAATGTTCTTCATGTGATTACACTTGGTCCGTAGGATTAAACAAGATAATTATTTTGTTTTTTTTTTGCTTTTATTTAATTATAAGTGACAGGTGCATCCTTGATAAAAAACGTGTGTGTATTGAATGTAGTATTCATTGGATAGCAATAGAAACAATATCAATATACATCAACGATATATTGTTAAGGTATTAATCTTACCACTTAGCTTTTATAGAAATTTAAAGCAAAATAATTTTCAAATACTCTATTAAACTTTATATATCAAACATTTTCATTATTGTCTATAAATACTTCCGTTTTGACAACAAACCATTTTATAAATTTTTAAAACAGCATGATCATTTAAAGGACCAATCATCTAGTGACATCTATGCATTGAATAGAATATATCACAAATAGAAAATGTATAAAATTATATCAAATGAACTTTTTTTTGTAAACAACGATTGATTCTCTGCTTTAAATCATCAATCGAAGCGATCAACGATTATTTCTCAATTATGTAAAATATTTTTAAAATAAAACCATGATCTGTGACAGTAGAATTAATATTTAAATCATAATCATCTGTTTTATTTCAGTATAAATTCAACAATTGATTTTTCTCTACATTAAATGTCATTCTTATGAAAGATCTCTTCGATAAATATGGTATACTAATTTTTTTTAAAAGAAACAAAAAATTATTTTGGCACGTATCTAATATCAATTGATATTAAGTAGTATGATATCGTTATATTTCATCTCAATATGATGGAATTGGAACTGAATTTTTGGCACCAGTCATATCTCCACTATACGATTATACTTGTTTTAGTTATTGTCATAGGAAAAGAGAGAACAGTTTTTACTCTTATCTTTTTATTTCTTCAAGAAAAAATGAGTGGCATCTTATTCTTATCCTAGGTTAAATATTATGGATAAAGTAGCGAACTGATTTATTAACACGCTATAACTGTCATTTGCTGGTTAATCATATGTGAGTTAAATATCTTTCTTTCTCTCTCGAACTATCTACAAAAAAATTAGTGACTTAGAAACAATAAAGCACGCAAAACAAAAGTGGTTTACACTTGTGGCATTCTCATTCACTTTCGTTTACAGAACATCAAAACCGCATAAGCTAAAAAAAAAGAAATTTTTTTTCTTCTTTCTTCATTTCCTCTCTAAGAAAATATATGTACAATGTCTCAACTAGTATGGCAAGATGTTAGATGAAAAAAGAAAAAAGAAGAAGAAGAAAAGAAGAAATTCCATTTTGAGGAAGTGTTAGAGAAAGTATAACTGGTACAGTTTTCAATAGTAAAAGAAGAACAGAAAAGGGAAAAAAAAAAAAGAAGAAATATATATTCACCAACACTTGATATCGTGTGAATGGGAAGGGGAATATTTTTGCTTGCAGTATGTTATGAGGATTTCAAATTTTTTTGTTTGATTGTTTCTTCTGTACTACTGATGAGTTTTATTTTTTGTTTTATTTCTTTGTTTAAATATATATACCCGATAACTGTTCATATATAGTCACAATTTTGTCCAATATTCACAATATCTATTTTTTATTCTAAGTTTCTTACTTTATCAAAGTTTTTAATGTAAAATGTAGAATCACAATACTTCTGAACATTGCTGATATCTATAATCGACTGATTCAATGTCGAGTAGTTCAAATTTCTTTTTTATTTTTCCAAAAATGAACATTTATTTATTATTTTAATTCACTAAAAAGTAGAATTTTTCGAAATCAACTTAAATATACTGGTTCCAAAATACTATAGAAATATATGAAACATTGTAGTTTTCTTTTTTTGTTCGTCATTTCTATGATATAGTGTTTCTACACGAACATATCACAACTTTTACTGATACTCTCTCTCTATATTATTAGAGTTGTTGTGAAAACACTTATTTATTTTGTTCGAACAGAAATATGACAAGAAGATATTATAATTTATATCTATCAATTCATTCCTTCTTTTTTTTTTCGCTCTTTTTGATATTTTTTTCTCTATAACAATTTTCTTCTTCTTCTAATCACTACTATCATCATTATCAATGGCAAACTCTATACACGTTTTGTTACTATAAATAATGACAAACGTCTCTAATTCCATTCATCAATTAAAGAAAGTAGCAACATTATGTAAATGGTCTGCGAGTCCCATTGCAATTAGAGGTAAGTATAGAAAATAAATGACTTTTAAAACATATTGATGAGTCTACGCATAATCATTGAGTGTATAAGACTATTCAGCTGATCATATTTCAGTTTTCTTAGATTGTTAAGGATTCTTATTTTGTTTGTAAAGTGTGTGATTTGTTGCATAAATTAATTACAACATACAAAGAGCACTTTGTTTAACTGAACTTTATTTGATATGAAGTCATTTTTTCTACCATCATCATGTTTAATAATTAGTTATTGACTAAAAGATCTCTTCTGACTGCTTTTCATCATAATCATTATCATCGTCATCATCATCATGATTTATCCCATCTATAGTCTATATGGTGTGTATGTAATCTAATTTCAATCTTGATATATTGTTTTGTCTATTCACATACACAAGTGTCTTATTGTTAGGACAACACGTATGTCTCTTTCTCAATTTGAACACAATATTTAAAAGAGAAAAAGAGTCAATTTGTTTCTGTCTTTTCTCTCTCTCTCTCTCTACGTGAGCATTTCGTTATTTGTAATGAAATTTAAGCTCGATCACACAAAATGAGATTTATTCACATTTCGTATCAACAGCAAGTGATTGAAAAAAAACGAAAATGTACATTGATCTGTAAATCATATATACAGTTAAAAGGCAGTCGGTTAGACTGACGTGTAAAAATGCGTAGAAATGGGATAAAACTAGAATATTTTGGTTCATTTAATTTTCAATTTAAACTCATTTTGTTAAGGTTTTCAATGGAAATATCGATTAAGTATCAATATTAAATATCATTATATTATACGCCTATAGTTGAAGGACATAAACGATGTTGTATTTGCTCTGATTGTTACGACTAGTTTTCGATTGCAAAAATCCACAGAACAAGGATTTACTATTCATTTGTGAAACTGATATTTGACAAAAAAAAACGAAAGTATTGGCACTTCTTGCTGTGTGTGTCTCTCTCTCTCTCTCTCTTCCCAACTGTTATTATATTGGCCTTTTGAAAAATGAACTCTCATGATGAACTCAGTAGGAATTTTTATTGTATTATGATGTCATTTCTCAGTTGTTTTGATTCTATACAGTTCGCATACCCTTAGAGTTATTTTATCAAAGAATGTTATACTCACTATGAAACTAATTGAAATACTAAAAAAATACCGTCGTCAAATAGAATAAGACGAGTATAATGCTATTAAACATATCTATTATTATGTAAATGAGTCTATGTGTTTGGATTATATTCTTGAAAATAACTGTGTCGTTACCTTTTTGAGGATTAAAGATAGTTTTTACAGAATAAGAATAAAATAAACCTCAGTCATCCACTACATTCTCAAACTTGCTAACTTGTTTGAACTGATATGGAGTATGAATGAGTGTATTCATACTCATATTTTTGTGATTAATAACAATGAGTGTTTATAAAACGTTAAAAAACAATTTGTAGTGTTTTAATCCTACAACATATGCGAAAAAAAAATCAAGAAGTGGGTGCTTGCAACCAGCTAACCCAATTTTTAACCCACTGCAACTGGTCTTAAGCGATGCTTTAAGCGATTGCAGCTAGTTGATACCGATTAATCGACCAATTAAGCAACCACTGCATCGCCAGCTTACAGCTAGCAGTGGGCACTTACTCAATTGCAGCCAGCTATTTGACCCAAAAGTCTACTCTTAAGCGAGTAGATAAGCTAGTTTTTCAGCTAGATTTTCTTGCTTACTCATTTCTGCTTGGGACAATAACTAAACTACAAATATCTACTTGTTTTAGCTGCCAAAAGTCGAACTACAATCGAATTAACAAAAAAAGAGGGTAGTCCGCTTGGCCTAACGATATCTGGTGAGAATTTTATTAAAGACTTCTTATTTTTTTCGTTATATTCGAACTATTTAGGTGGTGTCGATAAAGATGGTAAACCACGTGTAGCACAACTTAAACAAGGCAGTGTTGCTCAAAAGTAAGATGCGTAGAGTTTGTGCATCTGTTTATTCTATTATCGAATTGTATTAAGGTGTGATGTCCTTGAAATTGGGGATATTATCTTAAGTGTAAATGGTATTAAAACGGCTGGTTTAAAACATGATCAAGTTATCGAATTAATTAAGCAAGTCGGCGATCAATTAACATTAGAAATTGAATATGATCTACCATCATGGCGTATGTATTTGCTTCAAGATTAATTGGCTTTTCTCTCTCATGAGAATCCATCGATCAACAGTATACACATTATTTTCTGTTTGTTAATGATCCGATAAAAGAGATGAGTAGATAGAATCATTTATCACTTGTTAAACAGAGAATAGTGTAGTACTGGTTACGATAAAAAACTATCTGTTTTACTTTGAAAGTATCGTAGTGTAATTTGTTTGTTGTGCTTACGTAAGTAATGTTTTTTCGTTATTTAGCCATTCATGCTGTAAATACCGTTCATACAAAAACGATTCAAATTCAACTTGAAAAAGAAGGACACAGTTATGGTTTTATTCTACGAGGTGGCCTGTGTGATGATAAATCGAAAACAAGACCTTTGATTGTAACGAAAATACGACCTGGAGGACCAGCAGATATGTAAGTATTAGCTAGTTGTTCTCTTTTAGGTTATCAGTATTGGTAATCAGTATTTTGCTCTGATATAGAGTTAAAAAACGTTTTTAATCATGACTTCATTGATTGTTTTGAAAAAAAACAGAAATTAGCCAGGAGTTGATTTCTCTGTTTAGTGAAGGAACAATCAAAATTGGCGATCGTATACTTGCCATCAATGGAATAAGTGTTGCATCAGCAACGTTACAAGATGCACACAATTTAATGAAACAATGTAGAGGAACAACATTATTTTTAATTGAATATGATGTTGCTGTTGTAGGTAATATTAACCGTCCTATCATCCCTATTTCAATCTACATAAACATCTCTTTCGCCATTTAGATAGCGTTAAACATGCCACTGGTCCATTATTGATAGAAATCGAAAAATCACCAGGTTCAACAATTGGAATCAGTTTAACACAAAAATGGATTAGAGGACGATCGATTATTATCGTCGATAATGTTAAACCAGCCAGTATTGCAGATAGGTTAGTGTGATTAAATGCTTTATCATTTTTCTTTTCAAAGAGTATCTTTATTTCTCAAGATGTGGTGCATTGAGATGTGGAGATCAAATAAATGCTATTGATCAAAAATCATTTGACAATATAGCACTGAATGATGCCAATAATGTCCTACGATCATGTACCGGAGAATTTTGCCGTATTGAAGTAACACCGTCCAGTTTTACAAGATCACCAGATCCATCATCACATAGAGGTAATACATGAAAGTATAACTTATTTGTTGTTGAAAAAGAATGTTTCATTTTTATTCAGTATCAATAAATGACAATAGCACATTTCAACGTGCTCCATCTTTAAATACTATGGGCAATTGGACCATTCGAAATAGTTTTCAAAATATTGCGAGAAAACCAACAAAAGCAAGACACAATTCAATAAGTAAGTTTTAGAAAAAAAACTGAGTGGATGCGCTGTCACTGTAAGTGCGGATATGCACCCGCCCCTGCTTTGATGATCAATTCACCACACTGTATACTCATTTTTTTTGTATTTAACAGCCTTTGTAGAGGTTAGATTTAACATATTCTATGACGAAGAAAGACTACTCTTTTGTTTAAGGTTTAAAATCGTTAAACGATATATCAAGAGAATATATAAAAACTTATAATCTTCAGGATTTAGGTAACCATCACATACTTGTCATATATGTATTCTTCTTATTAATTTGTGTACTGGTTTATTGCTTTCTATCTTTTTGTATTCGCTGCTTTGCATTATATTTGCTTTATCCCGACACCTCGTCACACAAGAACTTCGTCAATCGGACCGCAATACAGCACTTTTATTCTGCTTTAAAAATATTAGATTGTCAAATCACTACTTATTTTAAGGGTAAAAATTTTCTTCGCTAGCGCGAAACTATGCTTTGCATCGAGAGCTCTCGGATTAGAGCTCTCGGATTAGAACGCTCGATTGAACAGCGCATGAACCAACCAGCAGATGTGTTTGAATAGATTCTTCCCATCCATCGGTGTGCTTATATTGTGATGCTTTTCTGCTTGTTATATCCATAGATGGTACATCGAAGCAAATTCTTTTACAAACTTCCATATTTAACGGTGAGTCAGAGAGAAAATTCGCTGAAAAATGTTTTGCTTAAGTTAGAAAAAGCTATAAGATTCTTACATAAAGATTCAATCTAATATTTTTCTTAATAAAAACTCAGGTTAAAGAATCGTTCGGTAGGATCCTATAGGATTTTTTTTGCAAAATTTTTGTAGGATCTGACAGGATTTCTTAAAGCCAATGTTTCCTACGGCATCCTAAAGATTTTGCAGGATCCTTCTATAGGATTTTGTAGAAAACATTGACTTTAAGAAATTCTATAGGATTGCAAAAGATTGTCGTAGGATCCTAGTAGGATTTTTTGACATGGGAACGGAGAGGTTATAACTTGACAGATAAATTTGTGAATTAGTATACACTCGGTAATTCGATAGCAGATACTTTCGAAAATATCAGATTATAAAGTTTTTCGAAAGTTTGGCGTAACTCGCTGTCTCATCTATTAAATATTTCATTTTATGATAGTGTATAACCACATGAAAAGTATATGGCATTTTCGATTTGTTAAAGGTTCGTTGAATTCTTGTTATCAATCTGTTATTGGTAATCAAGTATGTCATACGGAAACAATGGATGTCTCACTAAGGATTGATGACCATGGTGGATGCAATTTTGGTTTTACTCTACAAGGAGCATCGTTTACTTCGGATGCATTGATGCAGCCACCAGTAATCGGATATTTGGAACCGGGTGGAGTTGCTGAGAGGTATGCTCGTAGTTTTGAAAATAATAGATTTTTATCTTCAATTGATTGATAAATTATGTTAGATCCGGTGTTCTACAACCAGGTGATCGTGTTATCGCTGTAAACGGTCAACAACTGGAAGGTTTAACATTAGAAGATGCAAGAACAGTTATCAAAGAAACAAATCAACAAATTCATTTAGAAATTGAGTTTGATGTCGCTGGTATGTAGAGATCTGATGTAGCTAACTGAGGTTCACATTTATCTTCCACATTTCAAAGATTCGGTTATGTTATCATCTGGAACATGTCAAGTAAAAATTTTAAGAAAAAATCTCGACCTTGGTTTATCTGTAACTTGTAAGTCAAACATACGCGTCTAACGTTAAAATATCAAATGTGAAAATTCATTACTTTCAGATCCTCGATGTAGTCGTCCAGATGAAGCACCATTAATTAGTGATGTAAAAAAAGGCAGTATAGCATACAGGTAATCTCTTATTGGTATTATTTTATCAATATGGACTAAAATTGTTTGTTCAAATCTTTAGATGCGGAATGATACAGCCTGGCGATCGTTTATTATCCATTGATCATCATACATTACGCAATAAAAGTTTAACAGAAATCATCCATTTATTAAAAAATTGTGACGAAATTGTGAGACTGAAGATAAAAAAGGATGATATATATTCGGGTAAAAATAGTGCAGTCACTCAAACATCAAATACAGAATGTAAACGAACAGGGATTTTTCTTTAGAGGATAATCTTAACGAAAATATTGTTGTGTATAAAGTACAATTGCTGAGGCAAGGTGGACCACTTGGATTAACTATTTCGGGAAGTGAAGATGTGTTTGAACCAATTGTAGTATCAGGATTATGTGAGGGTGGACTTGCTGATAAGTATGTATTTTTGAATTATTATATAATTAGTTTTGTTCTACTGTTCGTTATACGTATTATCATAGGACAAATGCCATTCATATTGGTGATCGTATATTGGCAATTAATGATGTAACACTAAGAGGAAAAGGTCTTAATGAAGCCATTAAATTATTGCAAGCAAGTGGAGATGAGATAACTCTAAAAATATCGAGGTTGCTTGATCAACAAACACAGAGTAAGAAGAAAAACTTTTCTTCTTGTTAATAGACATCAAGGTGTTATTCTAATTAATTTAGAATTACGTAATTTTCATAATGAAGATTATACGCCCTCTGTTGATAGTGCAATGGAATCGTGGGATAGTTCAAATACTGAGCATCGTTTGAGTGATAACAGTGATCATAAAGAAAATGACAATAATCATAATCACAATCATGTGAATGGTAGTGATAATATACTACCTCGAAGTATGAACCAAATTTAATAACTTATTGACATATTAACGACATGTATTCTTTTAGATGATTTTATTTTGAAACATGGTCATCATTTAACTTTATCTCGTCCATCGGGATATCGTACACCACCTACAAATGGTCGTCCATTAGAAGCTATTCGTCATTCGGATAGTGGTGACAGTATTCATGCAGCTGAACGAGAATTAACTCGAGTACTCAATGATTTAGAAGTATGTGCGGTTTCATCCAGACAAACAAAGCAAATAGATAACAGCCAACGATCTCATAGTCATCGTTCTACAACCAGTAATCATCATCATCATTATGATAATAATGATAGAAAATATGATAATTGTGATGGAAATGATCATAGTCCACCTTTCTGTAATGGATTTATCAATCATAATAGAAATCGACCCTCTATGACAACTAATAATGGTCAAAATACAAATGGTAACAGCACAGATCTTGTAGTTAATGCACTTGTACATTCTACAGCAACTAGTAATTCGTCAAACGAGATTACAAATAGAAATACAAACAACAATAACAGTAATAGTAATCATCATAATCCAAATAGTTATATTTTTCAACATATTAGACGCGATGTATTGGCAGTTATTCTTAAACGTGATAAACGCATCCTAGATTTTGGATTTTCTATATCGGATAGACTCTATGGAACCGGAGTGTACGTTAATAAAATTCGACCAAATGGACCTGCTGAACACGAAGGAACACTAAGACCATGCATGAGAATATACAAGGTTAGTAAGAGTATACATAGTCGCAGAAATGTTTTTTTATTAACTTCAATTTTCACTTTAGAATATTCTAAGATCGTCACATTTGTTCTAGGTAAATTCAATTGATGTAACCCGCATGGAATGTAATCAAGTTGTTCCACTACTCTCAAATTCTAATGATGAATTACAATTGATTGTTAGTCGTACACCAGCGCCAATGTTTGATGAAACAGATGAACACGATTTATTATCCGATTTAGAGGAAGAAGAGACAACTACCACCACTACTACAGGAACCACCGTTTTACAGAACGAACATTATCATCCGAATGAAAATAGTAACAATAACAATAATAGTGATATATCATCAACGGATTCAACATGGAAAGATGATTTTGCTCTATTATCACAATCGAAAACTAGTACAGTTTGAATCCATGTCATTTGTCAATGTGATGGAAGTTATTTGCTTTTTTTTGATGAGTTATACGGCGATAACGATTTTATTTTTCAAAGCTGAAATGCATATTTGTCTACAAATGAGAAGCTGAACTAAAAGTATCAAGTTCTAGTCACCAAATTAGTGCTAGTCGCTAAAGAAGATTGTGAAAAATGGTGCCATCAAAATGATAACTAAAATGATAGAACGGAGGCTGCTCATCCGCAGAACACCTACTAATCATACAAGGGTATCTTTCTTTGGTAGGTATATAGAAATATAGAAAAATACATGAAAATAACATCTTTCAATGTTTCTGGCATCCTCGTTATCAGCTCTCATAAACTCACTTTTTAAAATCGGCGCTATCGTCTCTATCTTTGTTTTTTTTAATTTATTTCTTCTGAGGGTTATAATAACAGTATAACATACGTACAATGAACGCTCGATAAACATAGAAGCTATTTTTTTGTTTTTCTTGTTTTTAAAAAATGAACTTTGTGTAACGAATTTACCATGTACAAATAATGATATTTTCTATTGTGCATTATTTTCGTTTCATCATTTGTACACAGTGTGTTGTTGGTTTTTTGTTTTGTTTTTTGTACTCCACATAAATGAAATCAGGTTTTTCCTTGTCTTATAGAAATTGTTGATTTTTTTTTACGATATTTGCAAATGAAAAGAAAAATAGATAGAGAAAAACAATAATAAATACAACTAGACTGTGTTTACGCTCTGTGCATGTTACGAATGTGATGCATAATTGGAAAAATCATGCTAAATAAAGGTCATATTCACTTCTATTACATAAAAAGTAGAACTAACATATATTAATTGCTGTTAGAATTACGTACGTCTAAAGACATTTTTTTTTAAATCAGAGCAGTTTTATGAAATTAAAGACTCAAGTAAAAATCTCACAGGCAAACAAAAAGTTTAACCAATAGTTTATGAGTTTTCTTTTAACGCCATTGCGGTCACCACAGATAATCGTAGCCGCTATAACAGTATCATGTTCAATATATGTATAATGAAAAACTATTATCGTTTTCAAAAAGCAATGTCCCTGACTAAATTTTGAATAACTCCCCCATAGAAAGAGATATCGATCTCTGATTTTCGCAGATCGCTAGCCAACACTTTTTTGTATATAGCCATGCAAAAAAAACACTCTCAAAAAATAAATTTAAAGTCGGTTTTCCAAGAGGAACTTAAGTCGGTTTTCTTTGGAAAACCAGCTCCATTCTCGGAAAACTAAGATACAATGTTAGTAATCTTTTTGCATGCGTAGCTAGTCCAGACGTTACTCTACTAAATTATGCAGGTCCCGGCTCTCCAGCTATCGTCGTTCGGACAGGGGTGGCTTTCCCCGAGCACGTGTCTATCTCCAAGCAGACATCTTTGGGAATCTCGAAATGCCATGGGATATAGGTAATCGACTACGATGAGCATAGTGGCAACATTTGTTTTTGTGTAGAAATGAATATAACTTCGCCAGAGGCATTTTTGTGAAAAACCCGTTTTCCGCCTGTTACTAGCAAAAATTAAAATCCTTATATCTCGATCAAATCTCATATTGACTTAAGGAAATTTTCAGGAAACGCTCAAGACAGCTCATAAAGCATAATCGAAGATGAAAAAGGTGAATTTCAGCCGGGCATTGGTTTAAAATCTCAGAGCATCAGTGTTCTGCTGAATCACTTTTACGGCGTGGTCAACAACATATGGCACCTTTTAAGCCTTTTCTAAATTTATTTTTTGAGAGTGTTTTTGCATGGCTATATGCAAAAAAGTGCTGGCTAGCGATCTGCGAAAACCAGAGATCGATATCTCTTTCTATGGGGGAGTTATTCAAAATTTAGTCAGTGACATTGCTTTTTGAAAACGATAATAGGACAATGTATTAGACGTTAGTCGTTACCTTTGTGACTCATACGAAGCACGGGATTCATCCCTTCATCGTCCATCCGGGTTCCTATATGATCTTCAGATAAAATGACCTCGAAGTTTTAATCTCCAACTATGCACTATTCCTCTTCTTGTATATTTGTACTGAATTTCATCGAGACTACTCCTGAGATGCTGACAACTTTGCTCTCCGTCACCAGTATAAACAGTCTCGCTCCTATGGAACAAGAGCAGATCTGTCGAGCCGATTTTCATCTATAATTTGACAGAAAAGAATTCAAGGAAGTCGACAGACAAGTGAGAAATTTTCAACCTCTTAAAATGATTTTTTCTACCAGAAACATGCCAAAGAGTTTCCAGGTCAAAGCTTCCGATAGCCGGATCCGACCGCCCGTAGCTGATGTGTGTTATTAGGATTATTCTCTACAACTAAGCTTCTCGAAATTTTTCTAGAGAGTTTTTGATGACTTTGGCCACCGCAAAGGACACATAACATTCTTTGATGTCATATGAATATTCCATCACTGTGGTGCTGTTCGAGTTGCATGATTGCATATCAACTTGTCCTATTTCTTTATGATTCAAAGGAACTCTCTCGCACAGATCCATTAGCCTCCAAACAAGAAGATGAAAAGCGGAAACTTGAATAATAATCTTAAAACTAAAAGTCATCTGATGCCTCTACTTGTGGTATGAGAGGCCACGCCTCATTAAGAATTCCGAAAGCAGCAAGGCGCATATCAAGTCTTAGTACTTCGTAGTTAGTATAGCGGGTTCGGTTGACTCTTCATGTCTATGCAGCTGCATATTACTACTCAACGTCAGTTCTAGTTGTCTGCGTCAGGCTAGAGCTTTATCTCTATGTAAATACCTGTTATCTATTCACATTGGGTCACATGTAGTACTTTTTCCTTTCTAACCTATATTTTGTTATTCACTCATTTCAGTGAGAGACTTCTGCTTGTACGCATAGGTGGCTGTTGTCTTCCCAAGTCAACTTTCGCGATGAAATCGCGGCGCGACTCGCGCTAAAAAATCGCGCCGCAATCGCTATAAGACTTGCGAAATAAGACGCGATTTTAGCGATCGCTATTTTGTCGCGATATACTACTGAATGGGATGTATATTTGCTATTCTCGCGATGTAATCTTGCATAAAACTACGTACACTGACATTGTCGCGCCGCAATTCTTGCTTACGCGACGGGAGTCAGCGCGATTCGCTATTTGTCGCAGTGTGAATCCCGATGTCGCGGCGCGATTTTAAATGCATTCTCTATTTTTCTTTTCTTTGAACTCGTACAGTGATTGTTTTCGTTACTAGGATAGTTTGAAAGCTATTTTGCTTGCTGCCAGATTGTTTTTTAACGTCGCTAGGCACAAAGCATAGATCTGTAGGTGGT